TCGAATGGTGTGTAGTGGTACGCTGGAGCATTAGGTTGTTGTTGCGGTGGATCAGGTATGAGGGATGGGTCTACTTCGGAATGTCCTTGATCGGGCTCATCTTGTGCATAGTGTGCCGGGATTCCCCGGGGAGACAATAATGATGACCATCATCGATTTCGTGACCGACGATATCCAGGGGAACGTCAGGGGATGGCATATGGATAAATATGACACTTCATGGGGTGAAGAGCCACTTATAGATTGGTTCCCCCGTGGGTGACATGTGAGAGAGGGCCAAATCTTGGGTCTTTTGTATAAGCCATGACGTGAAAATGAGTTGTTTAGGGGTAATGGGGCCTGGGTTTACAAAACCATATAAGGTGGTTATATGTGTGATTACGCCCCCTATCACAATTTGTCCAGTTGATGTTGCCACGTTTTTGAAATGATTCCATAAGATGGAGGCAACATCAACCGGATCTGGTCCAGGTAAAATAGCTTGTGCAAGAACACACACATCCCACATTCTTGTGTGATGATTATTCGGTCTTCCGAGGAAACAATTTGAACAGAATTTCAAAAAAAAAATCGTAAGACCGGATGTTGCACATGGTTCACACTCATCTTAGAAGGATCCACCACATCTTTTCCTGTCATTCTCTTCCATAATTCATACCCCACAAGAGAATCATATTCACGTGCTTCATCAAACAATGGGAGGCCAAAATGATGTGCAAATTCTCTTTTGGTCAATGAACGATCCTCATTGAGTAAACGAAAGGTGATTGTGTCATTTGAATGATCATCATCATCCTTCGTATACACTACTGAGCTAAAGAATTCATAAACCAAATGAAGATAAGTCACATATTGCATTTCAAACAACCTAGTCATTCCAATCCTTGCAAATATGTCACGCATGATTACATCAATTTAAAGGAGTGCTGAAGTAGTAAGACACATGAACCGAGATTGTTTTACCGCCCTTTTGGATTGTTCCTTGAAACGTTTCTTGTGTGCCTCCATTGCAAATTCAACACTTTCATAGCCCGTCACGGGTGGGATAGCCCTTGAAGAAGAAGCTTTTCCTTTTTTGGTGCCATGAAATAGATTTTTTTGGGTATTTTTGGGTAGGGATTTTCAGACTTGGCTTTGGTGGGGATAGGGAATTTGGATTTTTGGTAGGTTATTGGTGTTTTGAGGGTGGGAGAGTGAAGAGGATGATTAGTAGATGAAGAAAATGGGATTTCTTTAGAAATTTAGGCCACAAATTAAGACCATTGGGATATGGGGTTAGGGTTTCAGATTTTTTTTAGATGAATTTGGGGAAGTTTTATGGGTGAAGGGTGGAAGATAATGGAGAGGAGAAGAAGAATATGGTGTTGATTTGTGGATTTGGTCAATGGAAGAGGAAGATTCGGAGGTTTGACCGGTTGAAAATGGGGGATTTTGGGGATTTTGTGCATGAGGAAGAAGATGAAGTGAGAGGGGAGATATAACTGAGCAAAGACAGAGCTTCGAGAGGATGGAAGGGAGATGGCGAGAAGATTGGCAGAGGTATGAAGAGGACCAACGGAGAACCTTTGGTCCAATATACTCTTACGTGGCACACCAGGGTTCCTTTGCATCTATGACCACTCCCCCTCCCGCACCCTCCTGGTACGACCCCACTCAGTGGGGTTACTTTGGAGGATCAAGCTTCGGTGGTAGAGGCAAGGATGATGACTACAGCAGTGACACATGGACGAGGATGCATACACCGGGGGCTACTTTGGCCATAGAGGATCTTTTGACGGCGGAGATGCGGATAGGCACTAGGGACAATGCCAGGTACTAGCTGGGGGAAATTGTTCCGGATCCTGAGGGTGATAATTTAAAAGAGAAATGGTGATAAAGATGAAGTTGAAGACCCCTTCTTACTCTATTCACTTTTGGGGATGCTTTGTAATTACTTTTGTTCTTAAAACGTTCTTGGATTCTTGTATTGATACTTTTATCATTTAGAGGACTTTGTGGACACGTTTTGAATTTACTGGAGATGAGTAAAGGTTTAAGTGTGGAGATGTTTGATATGCACTAATTAGTAGTGCATAAATGTTTATTTTTATGTTTGTTTTGTGTGCATTGTTTACCTTTATCATTTAGTTTGTAAGCATTGGTGTGATTTTGTTTGTAATCATTTTTAGCTACATTTGTAAGTTGTAGAATAGTGGTAGCAAGTGTGGAATTGTTGATGCTGGAAAAGAGACCCAAAAACATGAAGAAAACTGCCCAGGAGGACTTACCCGGCCGGGTAAACTAATCCACCCGATCGGGTAAGAAGTGAAGTCCGAATCTGCAAGGAATCAGCATCACACGGTCGGGTGGACTACCTCACCCGGTCGGGAGAGAAGTGACAAGGGACAATCCAGTTTGCTAAAAACACAAGAACGTGGAGAATAATCTGATTTTGACCCGTACCCGGTCGGGTGGGCACCATACCCGGTCGGGTATCTGGCCAAATGTGTTGAAAAACACCTATAAATAGCACACCTTTTCTTCACTAATTTCCATTCCTACTTCCATACTCTTAAGCTCGGTTTAGAATAGCATTTCTTTATATTTTTCTAGCAATGTTTAGTCTCCAAATGAGGAGCTAAACTTCCATTTCTTTGTTTTGCTCTTGAAGCTTGTTGATTATTAAAGTTATGAGTAATTTTCTTAACTTCTCTCATTGAATATTAATTCTTCCCTTAATCTATTTCTATATTAATGTTGGGGAGTGTTGCTAAGATGACAATTAGTCAACATCTCAATATTAATTATTACTAGAAACGATCAACGAACCGATGGTTAATCGTTGATGGTTTCACAAGTAAGTAACTTCGGTTTATTAATGCACAGTCGTGGTTAATAAACTTAAGAGGGATTAATTTTGTTGGTTAAATTGAAACCATTGTGTTGAGGTTATCAATCTCAATTGATTTCATCAAGGATTTAGAAAGATTAAATGCTACTATTAAATCGGTATAGGCGTTGTTCTGTATTTGATTAATAGCTAGGGTTATTATTGAACGGTCGTTGTTAATAACTACCCTCGATAAATTAGAGATACTCCTCGATTGAGTATTCGAGAGGGGATAAGTTATAGATATAACAAGGATCGACTAGATATATCAACAAGTGGAAAGTAGCAAAGCCAAGTCCCTTTTATCTTTGAATTAAAACTCATATAAGTCGTTCATCTTAGTGTTTAATTAAATTAAAGCACTCAATCCCAAAACCCCCCTTTTATTTACTAGTTCATAAAAAGAGAATTATTACTTTCCCTGTGGATATGAACTCTACTACGCTATACTACATATAAGTGTTAGTATCGAATTATTTTGATGCACTACGACAAAGTGTTCTTCAACGGGCCCGCCGATGGTCATTAATCTCGTCTCTGAGATCTCCCCCACGCGCGCTGCGATTTTGGGAGGAAACGATTGCAGATGATGCTTCATTACTTCGTTCCACCCTATAGGAGAGCCTATCATGCACAAAGACTCTCCGTCCCTCAATCTGATCCATGACTGAAGCCCTCGGGGTCTGCCTGGAATGATGAGACGATGGAGACCTTGCCAGAGGTGAATTCCTCAGACGTTGCGCTGACATTTCCTACTCCCGTTGGGACACAGATGGAACCCAGCGTGGGGAAGGAGGTCTTTCGTTGGTGTTGGGAACGATTCCTTGGAAGGCGGTGGTCAATGTTTCCACAGCCCTCTGGAACGTCGTCAAACTCGCCAAGGCTTGCGTCGGATCCACGTTGGGAATGAGATTCCCGGTGGCTGGCGTCTGGAACTGCGTTGGGCGTGTTGCGGGATGCCTGGAACTCCCAGCGCCTTGCAGGTGGTTTCTCAAGTCGCCTTGAGTTGCCACGTTGTTGTTTCTCCTCAGGAAATCGCTCCACCACGAACGAGACCATTCGTCCTCGATCACGACCTGATCCAATCGAGCACCGCCTTGATTGCTGCCAACACAGTTGTGATAGTGTGATTCAACCATCGTTGTCGTAAATCGTTCTCTCAACGAGAGCACCAAATGATGGAGTTTAATCCAACTACGAGAGCTAATCTACCAAAGTAAATGAAATTTAGGCAGCGTAAGGGAGTATTATTATTCCGGAATTCGGATCCTTGGTAGGATATGTACATGAAGTATTTGGAGACTTTAGGTTCTATTATTCTATGAGGAAACTGATATATTTAGTGCAATTAATTAGAATAGAGTCTTGTAACGTCTCGAACGTTGGGCAATAATTGTTTCCTTCAGATCCACGTTTCTTCCGTTATTTCCTGTCACTTCCAGGTAGCTATGCACGAACAATAGTCTGCCACATAAGCCCTAGGAAGAGTCCGACCTCGCTAGAACTCCATTCAGGCTCGAGGTCTACTGTCCATCCCGGCCTGGTTGTTGGTTCCTTTCGCGGGTTGGATTCCTAGTCAGGCCCAACGACTATTATTTATTATCGATCCTGATTAATGGGTTGATCCCGTTGATGGGCTTTACTTTAACTCAGTCTTGGGTAATGGTTGTAATCCATGGTTCCATCACACACGAATCCATTGGTCAATTCGTGTCAAATTCGTGTCAATCCCATAATTTTTTTTTGTAGGGAAAAGAATCAAAATTAAAGTTACTCTCTCGAGATGTCTAATATTTGAGATGTTTAAATAATTAAATGCATATTTAGTAGACATAAAGTTTGATAATATACATGTCATTTTCTTTACTTCATTTGATTTCAATCAACACTAATAAGGTGGATTAATTTTATGATATTTGAATAGTTTGAATTGTTGCAATTTAAACTGTTGAATGTGGCTGTGATTCAGATCACACAATAATTAGGGAGGGTTTAGTTTGTCATTTTCTAGGGGAAGTGGCAGGGGCACGCACAGGTAGTGTGGCACATACTCGTCGCGCACTCGCGCGCGTATTATACAGCAGCATATATTACCGCCTACATGTATGTATACCTTTTCTCCTTCCTTTCAGATCAATCCACTCCATTGATGTAATCCACCCTTTTACCTGAAAGAACATAATGAGGAATCAGAAGCTCAAAGGTCCTTTTTCTTTATCTTCTGCAAGTCTTTTCTCTGCACATTTTCTCCACCGTATATGTTATACTCCGTACAGTATTCATATGCAGAGGAAACTGGATGCTTATTAACGAAAATGTGTGTAAAACTAACAGGAATATCCATAGAATAGAGGTATCTCGATGAATGTGGAGGTTTTTTGTGTGAAAAAATGTCATATCAGAGGGTTTGAATATATGGGTTTTATTGAAGGTCTTCTTCTCTTCATGCACATATATGGGTTTTCACAATAATCTATAGCAGAGTTTCTTTCAAAAATTAGGGGATTTCAAAACAAAACAAAAGAAAAATCTGCATGTGCTAGCTAGATTTCTGGGTGGGTGTTTAATTTATTTTATTTATGTAAAATCATATCGCAATGCATGATACTAAGAGAAATAGCTGTGGTGGGGGTATAACAGGAATGGAAGATGGTGATAAGAAGAAGGGGCTATGGCTGCCAGACAGCATAATGGCAGATATACTGTGCAGATTGTCCTCAAAAGCACTGGCCAGGCTGAGGTTCGTTTCAAAGGAATGGCAGTCCATCGTCTCCGATCGGACATTTGCCGCACTTCATCTCAGCATGAAACGACGACGTCCCAAAGAGAAGCTGTCTGGATTCTTCCTCCAAGGCAGGCACTATTGGTGCGACGAGGACATCAAATCTGTGAGCTACATAGCCTGTTCCGATGAAGATGACGTCAGAGAGGCGGCAGAGAAGAGCGTGCTGATCTTTCTCCCGGAAGAGGTGGTCATTCTTTCTTCCGCTCAAGGCCTTCTCTGCTGCCGGAGCTTCTTCCCCTCACCTTCTTCCTCTCAACCCCGTCTGGTCTATGTCTGCAACCCTCTCACAAAGGAATGGACTTCTCTCGAATGGCCTCACCCTCCTCGAGAAAAAGAAACCAGCACTGCCTTGGTTCTCCACCTCTGCACTTCCCCTACTGATGTTTCCACAGATTTTCATCTCGTTTCAGTTTGCCAAAGAGTAGCCACCACAGTGACGGACTTGGGGAATGTCCAAGAGGAAGATGAAGAGGATGATGAGTTCGAGTTCCGGTTCAAGACATACTCATCCCAAACAAAGGAATGGCGAGAGTCGAAAGAGGTGTGCATTTGCAGCAAGAAGTTGCAGAAAAAGGGGTGTAGTGTGGGTGGGGAAGGCGGCAGAATCATATACTGGCTGACAGAGGATAACCGTGTGCTCATGTTTGATTTTAGGAATGATCTTTGTTGGATGATCAAGGCACCTTTCCCGTCCTCGGAGCTGAACTTCACACCCGGGGTGTGTTTGGGAGAAGGAGGTGATGATGGGAGGCTGCAGTATGTGCTGATTTCCCAGGATGGGTTCATGGTTTGGGAGCTGGATGATGAGTTTGCATCCCTTTGGTCACTCAAATACTTCATAGCTCCCGATGAGCTGGAGAAGGAGAATCCTGAAAGCATGTTTCGCATCTCCAAGAGACTGCAGTGTCATCTCACTATTGAGTCAGGTCCTTGGATCAATCCTTTGTGTTTCAGAGATTCAACTCTTCTGCTGTGGATATCTCCTGATACCTATGTGTTTGACTTCGACACGCGGAAGGCGAAATTGTTATGCCCTGATTCCGCTTTAGGACCGAGCTCTTGTTTATCCCCCATTGTCATTCCATACACCATGAGCTTGGTTCCTTTAGGTTAACATATGAAGAGAAGTGCTGGAAGGAGTGTTCCTCTCATCCCATTTTGTTGATCACAAGGGGGCGGGAATGCATTCAATAGCTGCTGCTTTTTGCTCACTACCTTAGTAAAGTGCACCACTGCACATATCTATATATATATATATATAGATATCTCAAAGTAACCTGCTGCTTATTATGAACTAGAGTCCTAGGAAAGGCAAGTTGACGCACTTTTTTGTACTCACAATTGCAGAATTAGTCATTGGGTAAAGTTTAATTTTTGCATTTGGTAGTTCCCACCTGGTTTGTTAGGATTATTACTTCATTCGGAGTACTATAAACGTTAGAAAATGATGTGCAAAGCTTGATTTAAAAAAAAATGTTGGCTTAGGCCTTTTAGCATTCTGCCGCTATGGATCCAAAAAAAAACTAAGGAGACCCATATAAGGATTCTCTGACATCATTTGGAGTGGTGTAGGATTAGGAGTCAAAAGATTAAAAGATTAAAGATGAAGAATTTTTACTCATTATTTGGTGTAGTGGAGCATTAAAAGGGGTATTAAAAGTGAGAAAGGGGGTGGAGGGGTGTAAAAATAGAGGGAGGGTTGACAGGGGAAAAGAAAAGGAAAAAAAAGAATTTTCTACATGTTTTGGGAATAAAAATGCGTTGGCAGTACCATATTTCAAACATGGCAGTATTTTCTAAACATGACAGTAATTATTCCTATTTTGGGAATAAAAAACACGACAGTCCTATTTTGGAATTTTCAAACTGTTTTAGTCCTATTTCGGGAACTTTCCCTAAAAATACATACTAGCTAATTATGTTACGGCGGGGCGGGGCGGATCATGGGTCAACAAGTTTGGACCCATGCAGGTCACGGGGCGGGGCAGATCCGCCCCGTCAAATCATGGGGCGGGTCTGGGTCTTGCAGTATCCGCCCCGACCCATTGTCATGTCTACTCGTGCGCGTAGCATATGCATTCGGATGATGTCATGCAGACGTCATTATAATCCAAATTACTTTAATATCTTATAACTTTTTAATTTGTTTTCCAAAATTTTCAAAAAATATATCAAAAATCATGAATTTTTATAATCTTTCATATGACACCAATATGTAATATACTCCCTCCGTTCCTAAAAATTCTTCCCGGTTTGACCCCGACCGCTTTTTAATGCAAGGCTAAAAAGCCTTTGACTTTCCAATTAAACCCTTGGAGGGTTGGCCGAAAAAGGGGAGGGGGTAAAAATAAAGTTACTCCTATGAAGAATGATTAAATAAAGTGGGATTTGATAGATGTGATCAAAAAGGTGAATAGTACACCCCAAGCAAAAATTTGGGTTACAACTTCCCTCCTATTTTTGGAGGGACTTTCAAATGTTTTCTTCTACAAATACTCTCATTTCCCCATTGTTTCTCCCAACCTCCCATTACAGCACTCAACACTTCACACACACGCACACAATAAATGTCACCATTTCTTCTTCCATAAATGGCAACTGCCATAAATGTTGATTCCCCTTCACCTTCCATTAATGCGCCTCTTTCATCTTCTTCACCAACCAACCTGCACACAATAACAAATGAGGGTGAGTTAGAAGAAGCAGCCAGCAACAACAAAAGAAGAAGACTGTCAAATGTGGAAAGGGACACTATCATGAATCAGATCCTACTCACTGCAAAAACAGACTGTTTTGGGGCGTTGGTAGCTCAGAAAGGTGTGTTCAGTAAACTGGGAACTGAATTTAAAGTTTCCAGAAGATCTATTTCAAGCATATGGGCGACTGCTAAAAAACAACTTCAGAAAGGGGACCCGGTGGATGTAACGAGTAGGTGGGCTGGTAATTCAGGAAGGAAAAGAATTGAATTGGATATAAGCTCCATCTCTACAATTCCACTTTATAAAAGGACCAATATGAGGGCACTAGTTGCTGCCACAGGCATTTCAAAGACAACTTTGCACAAATGTTTGAAAAAAGGTATGCTTAGAAGTCACACAAATGCTATTAAGCCTTTCTTAACAGATGAAAACAAAGTTTCCAGAGTACAGTTCTGTTACAACCAAGTTGATAAGTCAAATCCAGGAAAGCCAACATTCCAGAATTTTCAAAATGTGATACACATTGATGAAAAATGGTTTTTCTTGTCAAAAACTTCTCAGAGGTACTACATGGCTTTGGATGAGGAGGACCCTCATAGGGTGTGCAAGTCAAAGAGGTTCATAACTAAGGTCATGTCCCTAGGAGTAGTAAGCAGACCTCTATTTTCAGACACATGTGAAGTACTTTGGGATGGTAAGGTAGGCATATTTCCCTTCATTCAAAAGGTAGCAGCCAAAAGGAGAAGCAAAAATAGAGATGCGGGGGTGATGGAAACAAAACCTATAGTTAGCATCACAAAGGAAGTGTTCAAAGACATGTTAATCAACACTGTGTTACCAGCAATTAAGGCAAAGTGGCCAGACTGCTTAAGCAAGAATATTGTTATCCAACAGGATAATGCAAGACCACACATTTTAGGGTCAGATGCAGACTACATGGCAGCATCCCAAGCAGATGGTTTCAATATAAGCCTGACTCAACAACCCTCCAATTCCCCAGATCTTAACATACTAGACCTAGGATTCTTCAGGGCAATACAGTCATTGAAAGATCAAAAAGCACCCAGAAATGTTGATGAACTATTACATGCAGTTAATGAAGCTTTCTATGAGCTTTCACCCATCACTTTGAACAAGGTTTGGTTAAGCTATCAATATGTCATGGTAGAAGTTATGAAGGTGGAAGGGGGGAACAATTACAAGCTGCCACACAAGGGAAAGGATAGAATGATCAGAGAAGGGAGGCTGCCCATTGCTATTGAGGTAGATGTTGGACTGCTAGAAGCCATAGGAGGCTTCTTGTCCCAACATCCAACCTCTTCTACAAGCATACAGGAGGAAAGTGATGGGCATTTTATAATTGAAGAGGGTGAAGATGTGCAGTAGGTTGCAAAAAGATTTTTGGTTATTTTGTATAGGCATTTTTTGTCATTTTTGTACAGGCCTTTAGAGTCTGTAAGATGAAGTGTGTAAAGGTAAAGCCCCAACAGACTCATAGGAGTAGCTAGCCCTATATTGTAGGAGAGGCCTAGATTTTTGTCATTTTGTAAAGGCCTTTTTTTGTAAAGCTCAGACCTATTTGGTCATCACAGCACCCATACAAGTAAAGCTCAGACCTATTTGGTCATCACAGCCCTCATACAAGCATTGATCAGGCCAATATGGTCAACACAAGACCCATACAGGCATTGGTCAGACCTATATGGTCATCATAGCACCCATACAAGTAAAGCTCAGTCCTATTTGGTCATCACAGCCCTCATACAAGCATTGGTCAGACCAATATGGTCAACACAAGACCCATACAAGCATTGGTCAAATCTATATGGTCATCACAGCACCCATACAAGTAAAGCTCAGACCTATTTGGTCATCACAGCTGTGACACTCTAAAAATTTAAACAAAATAAAATAAATAATTTTATGTCATATAAAATATTAAAATAACATTTATATTTTATATAAGTGAACCAGACAAAAATTTAACATTCGTAAAATGGTTAGTCTGATAAAAATGGTCTGATAATAGAAGTAACGTTTTATATCAAGTACCAGTTATATATATGGCATAAGTAATAAAAGTTATTTTTGTGTGTAAAATTACACAAAAATACAAGCTTGACTTTCTAAATACTAATATATACTTAAGTAGTTACGTGCAATAATATTAAAATAAAATTCTCATAGCATAGCAATACATTACATGGAATACAATGGGTAGACTACGTAAACTAAAATGTAAATTCTACTAAGAAGAATTACAAACCAACTGTGACCCGTCATAGACTCCATATTTGAACGTATCAGGTCAGGTTTACACATAAAATACGCTCGAACTGCATAAATAGAGGAGACCTGCGCTAGCAAAAACTCTTATGTGATAGTCAACTTCGAATTTAGCCGATAAGACCGATAAAACTGGATCGCTAGCAACCGAAGTGCAACCTAGAACTCTCTACCCATCAGTATAAATACCAGACCAAGCCTGCGTTCTTCTCATCCCCCCCCCCCCCCCCCCCCCCAAAAAAAAAAAATAACGATCGGTCATTGGTATATATCTACGCACATATATATACATATTTATATACGTAGTGTATATATATACACCAAAATTCGTCCATTCGTTTTACTAAAAACTGAGCTCTGAAAACACTTTAAAAACCTTCCCCTTCGAGAGAGGAATACAAAGGTGAAAGAATCGTAGAAAACGGTCGTGAAACGAGAGAGATATCGCTTGCCGGAGTTTCGCCGGGCTAACCGTAACGACGGAAAACGGAGAAGAAGAAGGAACCGCCAACGCCGCCAGTCCATCACCGACCACCGCCGTCCCAGAAGGAGCCGATAGCACCGCCGTTTCACTCGTACGTCGAGGTAATCTTTCCCCCACTTTTGACCATTGCCGGCGTCGCAAGGAAGAAGACGGTTGTCTTCTGTGTTTTTTTCCCTGGGCCGAACTTCCTTCATGTAGGCCTGCTCTATTTTCTTTTTATTATTAATTGGGACGGTAGATTTTATTATTTTGGGGCTGGATGAACTCTTAGTATAATAATAATATAATAATAATAATCTGCAAAACTAATAAATGGAGGTGAAAAATATTAATGCTGAATTTGGCTTGATTAAATGATAGTAATCACTTGGATAAATTTGTTAATTTTTACTTGACATAATTACATAATGTTAAATAATAAAAAGGAATTGATGGTTTAATTAATAAAAACTGATAAAACGAATATTTTATTAAAATAATAATTAGTTATTTGGGTTTAGTAACATGAATAGAAAAAAAAATTGGATAGATATTATTTTCACTAATTATTGGAATAATTGAAGTAGATTAATAAGTTAACATAAATACCGACTCGGAAATATTAAGTGTTTGCGTAAGCTATTAATAACCGGATAATTTATTCTTTATTAATGGATTATTGATAAGTAAAATCTAATTGGAACTTTTATATGAGTAGATAAAGTCGAACCCTCTATAATAGAGAATCAGTAAAATAAAATAGAAAGTTAGAAGTGGATTGATTAATAAAATAAACTCGTATAATTAATTAATAATATTAGTATATGCGAATAATAAAATAAAAGGGGGAAAATCGGGTAAAATAATTACAAATAGAATAAGTGACTAATTATATCATCTTAATTAATTAAAAAGGTGAATATTTAGAGACCGGAACTGAAGAAGAGAATTAGGAGCATCGGGACTTAAGGTAAGTTTCACGTCAACCGAAATTAGTTCTTTTTCTTCATGATTTCTTTTAAATATTTTGTGTGCATATTTGAGAATTGAATTTATTATGTGTGCTGAATTTGAGTGAATATTATTATATGAAAGGGTTGTATTTGAGATATTAGTTGATATATTGTTTTGTTGATATGAGTTATTGTATACGATTTTGGAATATTTTGTAATTTGTTATCTTTGTGGGAGTTTGATGAAAAGGAAATTTTTGAAGTATAAACTTCGATTGATTTTGGGAAAAATAAATATTTTCATAAAAGGTGAGCATCACGGGAGAAATCCGTAGTGTTGGTTTTCCACGTCCCTTAAAATGTGGAGGATGGTTAGGTCTACTACTACTCAATTTTTGGTGGTTTTGGTTTGAGGTGAATTGACGGTCGGTAGAAAACATCCCGGCTTTTGAGTAGTAGTGGTAGTAGTAGTTCCTAATCATTCAAGTTTTGAGGTGGGGTAGTTGGTAGAAAACATCCCGGCTACCCGGATCGACTTACTAACCCGGAGGGCTTGGAATACCTTTAGGGGGTGTGCACACTTAAATTAGTTGTTTCCGTTTCCAAGGAGCAGTTGTGGTACCGGCGATAGTTCCGGGGTGGCCGTATATAACAACGGACCACCGGGCTCAACCAAAGTGTTGAGCACCGCCCTTCTAAATTACTAGGAAGTTAGATACAAAGTGATTTTGGGAGAAATTCAAAAGAGGAGAATTTTGGTGTTTCATGTATTTTGGAATTATTATGGTTTACGAGTTAATTATGTGATTGAGATTTTATATAGATATCGTTTACTTATGATTTATGATTTATAAAGTGTTTTGAAAAATATTTTATGAGGTTGTACGAATTTACATATATTATTTATTATTATTTTAAAAGGTTAGGTGGAACTTACTTAGCATTATTGCTAATGTTTGTTTCTTTTATTTTTCTTTCTGTACATGATTTTTGTACAGGTGTTGAGTTGATCGATGTTGAAGTTGATTTCGAGAGAGAGCTTTCGCTAGAAAACATTATTAGTAAATCATTGTAAATTTCTTTTTCAATAACTTTAATGAGTGAGCTTTTGATTTTGAAGTTTAAGTTGTTTTAGCCTGTGCACTCGGTTAAGAGAGAACCGAGTGTGGCGGTAGCACCCCTATTTCCCTTTGAATTTTCCGTTGCACATTTTGTGATGTTTTCAAATAAAGTTAATAATACTTTCCAATAAATCGTTATTTAAATGTATTTTGGGTGGGAAATTTGGGGGTGTTACAACAGCCCTCATACAAGCATTGGTCAGACCAATATGGTCAACACAAGACCCATACAAGCATTGGTCAGACCTATATGGTCATCACAACACCCATACAAGTAAAGCTCAGACCTATTTGGTCATCACAGCCCTCATACAAGCATTGATCAGGCCAATATGGTAAACACAAGACCCATACAAGCATTGGTCAGACCTATATGGTCATCACAGCACACAAACATTCCATAACCAGCCCACACATTTATCATTACCAATCAAACATCACACTTTCATTAAGCAGCCAACATTTTGTTCTTAACAAACAATTTCAGAAAAAAGAACCACCATATTTTCATCATTGCTTCCCCAAAACAAACACTGCACTACACACACAACGTATATGTAAGCCAAGGCAGACAACTAAGTGCACAACAATAGCCATACACGATGTCACACACAGACAAACAAGATAGAGGAGTCAAACATAGGAAAAGAGATTAAGAGAGTAACTCCCCTGATTGGCAAAGAAGTCATACATCCACGTCCCACATCCTAGATTCCCAGCCGGGTAGGATGAGCTTTAGGAACGCTTCTAGACGAGGACTTTTGCGTATTGGGTGCATTTCTACCTCTTTCCGCCTTTTCTCCTTAGCCTCTTCACTGTCCAGAACCAGATCCTGCTTGGCCCGGTTAACTTCCTCCTCCTTTTCACTGTCCGGAACCACTAGTTCCATCGGATCTTCATCGTCCCCATGCCATGCCTCTTCGGTTTCCAGAATCACAAGGTCCACCGAAGTTTTACCGTGGTCCACATCGAGGTCATCATCTGGCTCGACTTCACTATCCGGCACCATCAGGACGCCCATGCAAGCATAGTATGGACCTTGATCTTCACATAGGGTTTCAGAGCTCGATTTTAGATCCATGGAGGTCGAATGTTAGGTTTACGGATTTGAATCAATAACAGACGATTAGATCAACAAAATAAGGTAGGGTTGTTGTGGATTTGGGTTTAGAGAAGGAGAGGAGGCGATGCATCGGAAACAGAGGGATTAGAGGATGAGGGGAGGCGGTGCATCGCAATTGTGACAGACAAGGAGAGAGGGGCTTTCATAATGCGAGAGAGAGAATGGAACGACAAAAGTAGGGTAGAGTGTAAGTGGGAAAGAGAAAAGTGAGGAGGGTAAATATTTTAAGGGGTAAGATAGGTTTTTTAGTAGTAGGAAGTTTCCTTATTTAGTAAGTGGGAAGAATTTTTGGGAACAGCCCAAAATGGAAAGTGGGAAGAATTTTTAGGAACAGAGGGAGTATAAAAATGAAACAAAAATTTGAAATTTTAACTTTTGAAGTTTTCTTGAGCCCAAAAAAACACAAAACACAATTTTTTAATTCACGCAACCTTCATAAATGAGTGAATATTTCATAATCTAACTTTACTTGAACTAAGTTCATTTTTTGTTAAACGAAAAAAAGTTTAAAAAATTAATGAAATTTATTTATTTTTACATCGAAATGTGTCTTTTTTATTTTATAATTAATTAGAGAAAAAGTTAAAAAGAAAACATTACTTATAATAATTTATGTGATATTTTACAAAATTGAAAGTACACTCCCGGTGCCAGTATGGAACCAAACCTAGTACAACCGAAGTAGGGTACTCACACCCGTTTATTGGAAAGTTGGGACCGAAACCAGCCGGCCTTGGTCGGTCCCAATGACTAGTTTGACTACGTCTTTTCAGGATCGTTGACTGGGCCAGATCGAACGGGGACTGTCTGATTGTCGACCGGACCGGCAGGAACCATCAGGTTGTCGACCGGTTCAGACAGGGACTGTCGGGTCGTCGATTGGACAGGGACCGGATCTGGTCTGCCCGACCCTCGACCGGACCGAACAGGTACCATTGGGTCACTGACCAGACCGCAGGGTCATTGATCGGACACGCAGACCGGATAGGGACTGTCGGGTCATTTACCAGACTGCATCGTAGGGTCGTTGACCGTATCAGATAGAGATTGTCGGGTCGTTGATCGAACCGAACCGGACCGGAACTGACACCAGAGCGGTCACAGATCCACCACCACTCGTACAAAAAGACTTTTTTGCATCATGGTTTTTACATGAGTTATCTAATAATCCATGTAGAATAGTGACACATGGTCAATTTTATAATTTTTATGAATGTTTTTACATCGATTCCTTTTATAACCGGTGTGAAGAGGAAACTTACAAACTTAATTTAATAAACTATTCTACCTCGGTTACAAACTTACAATATTACTCGATGTTAACAAAGAAACGAGGTACTTTTTATATATATTGGGATTTGCTTTCCACATGCGTTATAATCGATTTTAAAGTTAGGTCTAAAATGTTACGTGTATTTGAGATCTCTTATGGGTTAATTGTCAAAACCGGACTAAAAGTTGGTCACTTTCCACAAATAGGATAAAAAAGTAAACTATGTTTTTATAGGACTAATTATGTGTGTGTTGGACAATATACCCTTGTTGCTATTGAAATGTTTTAATTCATAATAAAATAATAAAAAATAATAAAAATACGAAATATATATATATATATATATATATATATATATATAAATTAAATAATAATTAAAAAAATCAAAAACAAAATTAAAAAAACAAGAAATGCAAAAAAAAAAATCACCGCCGCCTCTACTGCCCCAGCAACACCACCTCCACTCACCAGGAGAAAAAAATGCCACATCCATTACGAATGCCATATTTATGGCAGAATCAATGAAAAATTTGGCATTCTCACAGAGTAATATGTCATTTTTTTGGGATTTTCAGAAAAAATGACAGTTTTTAGAAAAACTGGCATTTTTTACACCGGTCGGATGTGGTGGTGCAGAGAAGCAGTACAAGCGGTGGGAAAGGCTTCTAATTTAAAAAATTAAAAAAATTAAAAAATTTATTTTTAAAGAAAAAAACTAAAAAACGCTAAAAAAATCACATCTGCCTCTGCCGCCCCAGCACCATCATCTCCGGTCATGGGGGGGGGGGTGGAATTCCACATGCGTTAGGCATGCCATATTTATGGCAGATTCAATGAAAATTTTGGCATTCTCAAAGAGTAATATGCCATTTTTTGGCATTTTCAAAAAAAATGGCATTTTTACACCGGTCGGAGGTGGTGGTGCAGGGAGGCAGTACAGGCGGTGGGGAAGGAATCCATATTTTTTTAATTTTTTTATGGAGTTTTACTATTTTTTATTATTTTTTTAAAAAAAAATATTTAAATTTTTTATTTTATAAATATTTTACTCCCTCCGTTCTCTAATACATGGCCTTCTTTCCAATTTGGGATGTTCTCTAATAGTTGTCACCCTTTCCACTTTTGGTAAGTTTTTTCAATAAATATACTCATTTACCCTCATTCTCTTTCCTACATTTTTATTTCCATTCCTACTTTTACCTTTACGCACAACTCACTACACCTTTTATCCTACCCCTATTAATTCCTTCTTAAATCTTGTGCCAAAGGTTATACTCCCATCTATTAGAGAACGGAGGAAGTATTATTTTTCTATGATTTTTTAAATGTTTTCGAATTTATTATGAATTAAACATTTAATTATGACTTTTGACTACCTTTTTGGAATAAAAACATAACAAGTCCTATTTTGATACATCATTGCGATATTTGTAATAAAAACATAACAAGTCCTTTTTAATTTTCTAGGACCTCTATTTGTGAGAACTAGTTACTTCACCCGTGCGTTGCATTCACATATAGGTGCATTCATATTTATAATTCCATAAAATTAGCCTGGGCTTTATGATAACACTATACTTTGTGTATTTGGCATTCATCCGAATAATGGATTAATTATAATCCATAAAACCAAACTAGATTTAAAGATAAGTGTTCGAACTCAGTGTGAATCTATCTATTGTTATTGCAATTCATTGCCCATGGATTTTAATTCGTTGGCAGGTAGATTTATAACTGCGATAAACATTAAAGAGTACAATAATAGCCTATTTGAGTTGAGCCTCCTTGAGCAATCCTTGCATTTTAAGTGGATAACAGAGGTTCCCTCATACATAGATTTAAAAGTAGATGGAAAACCCCTTTTGGGATGGTCTGTTGTCAAAGAACTGCTATATTTAATTGGAATTGTTGGGATTGGAAAATTCTTCTATTCAATATCAAGAACAGAATTACAATAGGAGGAGCAAACTCTCACACTCAACTATTACAAAAAACCAATCCTCACCAATACACTTCTACACTAAGTGTATTTCACTCTTCACACACTTTTCTCACTTTCTAAACTGATACTATGAACAACAATGGAGCACTCTATTTATAGGGCTGGTTTGGAGACATGAGGAAGTTGCATCCAAGCTTCCTAGTTATCTCCATATCTTCTCCCACACCTATTTGTTGGAGAGCTCTTTCCAAGAAGGTGCCTCCATGTTAAGGTGTCTCTTGGCAACTTCCAAGAAAGAAGGTGGAAGATACCTACAAATCTCCCCCCTCCACCTTTTTCTTTATTTCTCTCGTTCCTGCGGTGCTCGCTGGCTCCCCCTCGCTGGCAACAAGTATCCATTCGGATGTGGAGTATTTTCTTTGTGGAACTATGCCTCGCATAGAACGTCGAACATGAATACCTTCAGATTCGTCTTCAGATGAAGGCTCCCCCTGCTGAGGAATATCATCACTGTGAGTATCATCATCACCTGCTGAACCATCACTCTCGTGTTCAGTAGAATCATGCATCTCCTCGTCGCTGAGAGGAATGTTTGATGATACAGGCACTTCGTCTTCTGGAGTATGTTGTTGGCGGATTATTGGAGCACACCCATGAAACTCGTTTTCATGAAATACAACATCTCTGCTTCGAATAACTTTCTTCACTTCGGGATCCCACAACCGGTATCTGAATTCTTCATCTCCATAGCCGATGAAGATACATGGGTTTGACTTGAGGTCAAGCTTCTGTCTCAACTCCTTGGACACATGTGCAAATGCCTTGCACCCGAACACTTTCAAGTGAGAGTAAGAAACATCTCTTCCTGACCATTTCTTCTCTGGCACTTCAAAGTTTAAAGGAACAGAAGGTGACCTGTTTATAAGATAACAAGCTGTCAGCACAGCTTCACCCCAAAATGGCTTAGGTAGCTTAGCCAGACTCAACATGCAACGAACTTTCTCCATAATGGTCCGATTCATTCTTTCGGCTACACCATTGTGTTGCGGAGTTCGTGGAACCGTCTTCTCATGTCTGATTCCATATGCGGCACAATATGCTGAGAATTCTCGGGAAGTGTACTCTCCTCCATTGTCTGAACGCAGACACTTCAGCTTCTTCCCTGTTTCTCTTTCTATCATGGCATGAAATGATTTGAATCGATCAAACACTTGATCCTTACGATTTAAACAGTAGGCCCATACCTTTCGTTATGCATCATCAATGAATGTCACGAAGTATCTGCTTCCTCCAAGTGACTCCTCTTCAATGGGTCCACATACATCAGAGTGGACAAGACTGAGTAACTCTGTATGGTTCTTCTTGGTAGAACTGAAGGAAACCTTGTGTTGTTTCCCAAATAGACAGTGCTCGCATGAATCTAGGGCAACACCTTTGCCCATGGAAATGACTTCCTTCTTTGCAAGAGTTGTCAATCCCTTCACGCTCAAGTGACCTAACCTCCGGTGCCACAAGTTTGGTGATATCTCTTCTTCAACAGCATTGAGACTCGGATTACACAACTTTGCATGAGTTTTATAAAGAGTGCCACAAATATGGCCTCTTGCAACAACCAAGGAACCTTTAGATAGCTTCCACGTACCTTCTTTGAATCGGTTAAGATACCCTTGTTGATCCAGAGCTGTACCGGAGATAAGATTCAATCTAAGATCCGGAACGTGTCGAACATCTTTCAACACAAGTGCGCATCCGACATTGGTTATTATGTGCACATCACCAATGCCAACAATCTTCGAGAAACTGGTGTTTCCCATCTTCACAGCTCCAAAGTCTCCGGACTTATAAGTTGTGAATAAGTTCTGGTGTGGAGTGGCG